AGTACTAATGAATAGGAATTGATGCCACAGAAAAACAATGTCAGTGTCTGGATCAAGCAGGACTGAAGTTCATTAATTCATTAACTTTTTTTGTGTTGTGAGAAAAGATGTAAAGCTGTCCAGGTACTGCAAAGTTTAGACATAAGTAGCTTGTGTTTCTAATGATTTTTGAACAGCAAAAATTGTTGTCTCCCAAAAATCTTACACTCATTAAAAAATAATTTAGAAGGTTATTAAAATAATTTATTTATGTAGTGGGATGCATCACTGAAAAATATTGAAGAGGCATCCAAAGAGTGACTCAGTATCTCCAAAACAGAAATGACAGCTTACTTTTACTTTTTCTTACATAAGTTTAGTAAGAACTGCATTAAAGTCAACTGGTATTATTTAAAGAAGTTTTTTTAAAAGGTCCTCTGTTTTATAAAAGTACCTGTCAGTGGAATAAGACCTAAGCTCTGAAATATCATCCCCAAGAAATTTCTCATGAAACAGAAAAACCCATTTTTGTTTAGTCAAAATAGAAAAAACATTTTAATACTCTGAACATTTTTGTTTTACTTCTGAGGCTATACAACAGGTAGAGTAACATTTCAGTGATCCCATCTGCATTCTGCCTAAGGACCTGTGACTGATAATGCCTAGTTTGGCATACCAGGAATGACTTCATCCACAGCTGACTGCTGTCTTTAGCCTCTGAGCAAAAGGAAGCTCTAGTATAGGTCTGTACCATTTATAAGCTTCGTGATTTGCTGCCAATTTGTAGAAACCAAAGCAAACTTCTGGCAGGACTCCTACATACCATAGTAGTTAAAGAAACTATCGTCCCACCCTGATTTTGACTACAAGCCTTGAAAGATTAGTCTAATATTTCTTTCTACCCTCCTATTCTCCTTGGCTAACAGAAGATTTAATGTAAAACTTCAAAAATATAATTCTGAAAAGTGCCATTCTGGTTATCTTCAGTCACTTCACAAACGCTCAGTTAATTTTTTCTCATTCCTTTTTTCCTCACCAGTAAGCCTTGGCAACAGAAAGCCTTCACTACTAATGAAAAGTGAAAAGCTAGCAAACAGACCCAATACCCTGATGTTTCACAGCTGCGTGCAAAGCTGCCCAGAGACACCTGCTTATTTTTAAAGCAATTCTTTCTACTCTTTATCATTCCATCCCTTAAGGTTGGGTTATAAAATGAGGCAGAATAAACTAGACATTTCATAAGACAATGGCGCATTTGTACATCCCACCTTTACTGGAATGCACAAATCACCATTACACAATGTTGTCCAGTTGCTATAGCAGGAAGCAGGAATCAACCAAATTGATCTTGCACATTATGAATTCTTTGCAAAGTATGGCTTTCAGAATGTTTCCTGGTTGTGGTTACCTCAATTTCCAGGCACAACTTCAGTATCTAGTGCCAAATGACCATGTATGCTGGATAATCAGAATTTCTGCCCCAATTTCTGAAGATATTTTAGACACATAAAAATAGACAGGCTACTAGTAGTGCTTTTCAGTGCCTATGTAGTCGTTTAATTCTTGTTGACTCCAGTAGGAACTAGGGAAGGAAGGGAGACAGCCCCAAAAGTTGAAGGTGCTTTGGTGCTGCTTACCAGGCTCAGTGTATCTGCTAATTGGAAGTAGAGGTTAGGTTGCCAAGTAATCTGCCACTGAAAGCATGCTTCGTGTATCCTGTGTCCAAAAGCTGACTCTACACCGACGCTGAACCTCCTGATAACACTAACGAAGCTCAATATAGTGCAGCATCTGCCCTCCCATCATCACACCTCACCACAGGACCTTAGGGGTTGGGCAGTGAGAGTATTCACCAGGGAGGCAGGGTACGAAAACTCAAATCCCCTAGCACTAGGAGAGAAATGAATCGGTCCAGTTTTATATCCCATATAAAACTCTAACTAGCAGCAAAATAAAAAGCAGCCTCCCTTCTCTGGACATGCTTTGTAAGAAAGTGATGACTTCAGCACCCAGCCAAAGAAAAAGATTCAGCTGTGATTCACAGCTGGAGCTATGCTGCTCCTCGCAGCACCAGAGGGTGCATCTAAACTGGGAGGCTTCCAAGTGTACCGTCGCCATGCCCCAGTTCCAAGGACTGGAGCATCTTCATGCAGATGAGCCAGGATGTGTCCCCAAAGTGTGTGTGGCGATGGGGGGTGGTGGACAGCAGGAGAGAGGGACGTGCTGGTATGCAAACCTGCAGCTCAGCTGACGAGTATTCGCAGAGGGCCAGGCTGACTGTCATATCTTTTCTCAAAACTCCTTGGAGGCCACTGCTGGCACCTGCCTGTCCATCACACTCAGATTTCTGGACAACAGTCATAGGCACTTGGGGCATTGTCATACAGTCACCTTAGTTCACTGAAACTGGCATTGCCAGTGAGAGGGTCAGGCTATGCTTCATTTTCCCCATTTGTGCCCGTCTTGCTCTCCTCTGACCTCAGGCTGAGCTGAATGAGGTACCTGCCTGACCTGACTGAAAATGCAATTTGTTATTGCTGTTGTTGGTAGTGCAGTTTTCAATGTGATTCACCCTGGAGAGCTGCACAAAGGCTGGGAAAAGGAGGAAAGAGCAAACATGAGGTAAGGAGTGGGGGTGACCACCCTTTTGTGGTGATCATGCAACCGCAGTTTTGCTCTTCCAAATCTTTGTACAGGGCTATAATATAGACACCTGGTTCAAAGCTAGGAATGAGGCCGAAGCAGTCAGTCATACAAATTAGTTGTTGCAGCATGCTGAGTGGCAATGCCTACATACTCTGGGATGTTCCTATGTTCCAACTGTTTTCAGGTAACTAGCATGTTTATAAACCTTGCTTGTAGTCCTGAGACCTCTCATAAGCCCAACCAAAGATTTCTCTTGTTAGCCACCAAAAATTTATAGCACATTTGCTGATTCTGACCTTTCTACACCAGTGACAGGACTCATCTAAAACTGAGATAACAATGGCACATGAAATTCCTCAATTGTAAGAAAAATAGAAGGCTTTGGAAAGAGCAAGAATTGATAGACTGTTATTCATTCTTCTGTTTCAATGAACATGTCTTGAGGATATCTCCTAACACCTTCAGTGTAGTAGTAGCATTTTCCATATGAGCATCTAGCTCTGAAATCCTCCACTTGTAACTAACTTAACTGAGGCAATGCAGCAACCGGGTCTATCTACCATTTGTTCCACATCAGTGTTTTCTTTTTGCTTAAACTTAAACTAGCCTGCATGTGCAGAATGTTTACACATTTCAAAACAAAGGGTTGAATTTCTGTTTTTATTCTCTCATGGTGCTCTTACTTTAGGAGATTTCTAGTGAAGAACAGGCAGATGCGATTCAGTAAACTGAGCTTCTGTATGAAAATAGGATGAGAAAGATATGCCTAACGGGCAATGGGAAACAGCTCTTGCATGTACTTGTTTCTAGACAAAAATATTTGGCAGCATGTACACAGCCTCAAATAAGGACAACTGAATGACAACATAGGCCAAGATTGCAGTCCCAAATAAATATACTATTATTCAAATTAATACCAACATAATGTGTTTCTATGTTAAACAGTATTTCTAGTCATCACAACTAAGATTTGTGTGTGTGTGTATCTACATTTATTTACGTGGTTTCTAAGAGCTAAATCCTTACATATTTCTCATCTCGGCCTATCAGGCAGGATCAGGCTGACTGACCAAAAAAGTATTTGGCAGAATTCACCTAAGTTTTCACAGTTATTTTACCCTATGGCTGAAAGTAGCTATGACAGCTCCTTGAGATTCACTGTAAGACACGACAAGTGGATCTATACATAACAGGCAGCTATGTGTAACGAGGCCCTGTTCTTCAGCCTGTCCATACATGGTTCCCTGCTGTTATGAAGAAGGCTTTGACCAGGAGAGGATTCTCCCATCAAAGTGTGATCCAAGGTTGCTCCAGTTGGTTTCTCCAGTCAAACCAATGTTAAGTTTTGCTGCTGACTCCCAGCTCACACCTCCTGCATTCTTCTGGATAAAGTTTGTGGGATTGCAGGGAAGAGACAACACAAACCCAGAAGCATTTCAGTTGTGTAAAGGACGAAGTTTCACCTCTTGTAGTCTCTCTTCTGCAGGCAAAGAATACTAAATGCTTTCCACAATTAAAAAAAACCCTCAGACCTCAAGAAAACAAAATGCACAGTCAGCATGTTGATAGCTAGTAGGATTAGCCTTCCTCTAATTCATGCAGTTCCACAGAATGGTATTTCTTTCTGACAAGTACCTAGTTGAAAAAATGGTACCAACAAATAACTGCCCTCAAATACCTATGGAGGCAGAAAAGTGGCCTGTTCCCTGAGGTGACGTGTCCCTCCCAGTGTCTCCCCCAGCCTCCACCACGGCACATCTAAAGAGCAGAGTTGGAATGATGAATATCAGGAAGCTGATCTCTGAAGAAGAAATATGTCATTTATGGAGATATATCCAACCAGTCATGTGACACAGACAATATAATCCAGCAGAATTGTCACAACTAGGTTTATAAGGTTTCTGTCAAACCTCCACATGTAAAATCTCCATCACTTTAAAAGACATGATTAGAGAAAAAAAATCTCCATTAACTTGTCTATTTCTTCAATACACAAAGTCTATAAAGTTCAAGAGAGTCAGAAGCAAGCCAGTTGTCACACATAAAAACCACCCAATAACTCAATGAGATAATATCTGAGAAAAGTAAGAGTCACCCCTTATATTCTGCATCCCAAAGGGACTGAAAATAGTTCATGTCACATGCTCAGGACTCTCAAACTAATTTTTATGTGTTTTTGGTTGGCTCCAAATGCTTTCAAAGAGTAAGCGTCATGCAGTGTGCATGGAAGAGACATAAATACGTATTTCACAAAGATTTAAATGCAAATCACGCTGCTTTATGAGGATTCAAGTTTCCTAGACTTTCATAGGAGAACTGGTACTTTCTACTTGACGAACTAGATTGAAAATGTCATGAATGTCATAGCGCCTTACTTGTTCTCGTTGCTGGCATCATATCGAGGCATAGGGTCAAAATCATTTCCATTGACATCAAAACTGGCCTGCGAATCCTGTAGCCAACAGGAGAAAGAAAACCAGTTTCTCATTAATTAGCCGTTGACTCATGTGGCCTATACATTCTTCAGCAGGTTTCTACAAGAAAGCAATTAGGTTAACTAACATTCCTGTGGTTTTATGATGAGTGTATGTTTTAGGAAAGGATTACATATTTAATAATTACAGGATTTACATATTTTATTTTATTTTTGGAAAAGGGAGAAGGATAACAGATGCTCTGAAAAAGCATAGTTCCCGTGTCAGTGAGGAAATAGAAAGTGCTGTTTCATTAAGCCAGAAGACTACATTTCTTCTAAGAAACTTTTGGAAGTTAAGAGTTCATTCTCAAAATTGCGATTTTGCTAAATGTTTCGAGATTCAAGAAATTATCTGCACAATGATGACTGAAATTTCAGTCATAGTTTCAAGGAATAATACAATTTTCTTGAGAATATTGTTATAAAAATACAGCTTGAAATGCAACATAAACTTCATTCCCATTTCCCTGGGAGTGTAACTGTTTCAAATATTTGCAGGATATCTCCATATTTTTGTTCCATATTTTACATTTACCAGGACTCTTATAGCTGAAAATAGTTTATAGAGTAAATAGCTGCTGGTTTGTATGGCTCCCATTAATTGATGCAGTAGCATGTGGTGTGTTGACATGGCAAGCAGCTCTTTTTAATCTCTTCTTTGTTCAAAACCAGTTACCACATCCACCTCAAATATTCTCTTTGCAGCCACACCAGCAATAATCTGACATATAGAAGGCATTCGTCATCAAACAAGCAATGTGTACTGCTTTGGGGGAACTCCTTGTTGGTGTGAGGAAAGGGAGCGAGGAGGTGGTAAGGGAATAAATAGCTTCTTTAAATTCAGTGTAAGGACAGTACTGGGATGAGGTGACATATGATACAATCTGGGTCATTCATTGAGGAGGTAAAATTATATTTGGCTTGTTTAAATAACTTAAGAGATTAAAATGAAAGATGTGGCATGCATTAGGATCAAGCATACATTGACTAATAGGGCAACTGCCTGTCACTTGTGTTTGTGCAGTCCTCCTCATGTATTTCAAAGCTGAGTTCCATGTGCAGCATGGGAAAGGATATGGATGTAAGTATTCCTAATTTAAAATAAACTGCTTTAAACTGTGGACACAATTGTAGCTTTTGATGGGTTGTTAAAGATGGTTTTGTCACCTTCATCTCTTCAATGCTCTGTCAAGACGATATGCTTGCTCGCAAAAAGCCTGCGTTCAGGGCTTTTTTACAAGATCTTCGTCTGTAATGGGACTGAAGGTATATGCATGCTTTGCACTGGTCATCTTCACCATTCCATCTCAATTCAAATGTATTTGCTTGTTTTCTTACCTTGTGCAGATGTACACCTTGCACACTTTATTTCAGAAAAATGATAAGGTCCTCACAGTCATGTGCTTTCAGGTAATGCCTACGCCCAAAGCACAAGACTAATTACTCAGCAAAGCATGGTCCTGATGCTCTGAACAGCTTCAAACTCTGACAGTAACACCCACTAGTCACCCACTAGATAAGCAGCTTCTCCTCACATTATACAATCCTTCCAAGGTATATTAAACCTATCATTTAAATATGATGAACCACAAGCAAATAGAAACCTCCTGAGGTGACATGAAACATAGGGTGCAGAAAACAAAGCTCTATTACAAATTGTGAGGGGACTCACTGGAGTCAAGAGATTTACTAGAAAGACCCTAAAATATTCTACACCTGTTAACTTAACTGAGTGAATCATAACAAGTCATGTCCTTTTCCTTTAATATTATTTCTAGCAGTAAGCTAAATAGCTTTAAAAATAAATGCATGGAAGGATATGACTAAAATTACAGTATTTGAGAAAAGCTACTGTCTTGCTAGCTAAATGTATTGGCCAAAAATGGACTTCAGCTGCATGCATTAACTGAAGAGCCGTGTATTCGATTTCTAAGTTCTGAGAGCGTGAGGATATGAAGCAAAATAATTACAGAAAAGAGAAAAAACATCCGATGATTAGTTCCAGTCCTTCAGAAATTCAGGACTAATCTACAAGAGGCATCCAGATATTAAATACGTTCGACTGAACAGTCTTAACTAAACCAATACAGATTACCAAAAGCTGTCTTCCTTCCTCCCGTTGGTGTTAACATTTGAGGAAACCCTTGCATGATTATTCCTCCTTCCCTCCTCCCTCCCTCCATCTTTCCAGGAGTAGCAAATTTATTCACAGTAATAATAAAACAGCAAATCTGGACTCCTGTGGACACTCACATAATTCTGCATCAAGTCTGGATGGTTTCTTTCAATGCCATCGTCCAGGATGGTGACCACAACGTTCTTTCCAGTGTAACCTCTCTTCCAAGCACCTACTATGTTCATATCCGATTGGCAATGGTGGGTGTTATCACTGCAGTGCTGGGAAGAGAAGAGGAGATAAAGATGTTGGATGTTGTAGATTAGTGAGCAGTGTGGGACTGAGATATTATCCTACTTACATTAACATTACCTTTTAAACCAGCACATGACCATATTGATTTGAATAGCAACTATACAAGATCACCACCTTCATTTAGACAGAACATAATTTAAAAAGAAATGCCAAATTAAATTAAAATTGCTAGACCTGCTTATTTCTCTTTCAGATTACTCTTCCTGCTAAGCAATAGAAAAGGGAAACATCCAGCCATACTGAACCACTAGAAGCCATGTGTGAAACAAAGCAACTATTCCTGGCTGTTAAGCACACTCATTTGAAATGTACATTTGAATTATTTGAATTTTTTCAGAAAAACAAACCATATGTGGATAAAAGTAGAAAAATGCCTGTACAGAAATGGTCATGGAAACAAAACTTGCTTTTTGGAGCTTATGTGCTGTATAATTTCTTGACAGAATGTCTGGAAACTAATCCAGATTCATTTCTATCTACAAAAGAAGTCTTTTGGCAGGTTTTGTGCAATATCAGCAGGAGATGAGCAGCAGTTAAGAACCTGTAACCAAAACAACACCCTGAAAAACTTGCAGCTTAAGGTGTCTGATGAATTGTAGATAGTTAGATTGAGAATAGCCTGGAGTACAGCTTTCAGAGCAACCAAGTCCAGTGTGGTGAAGGAAGAAAGTTTAGGGTATATTAAAACTGAAAGCCTCTTCCTTGATATGAATGCACCCAGCTCTTGTGAAGAAATCTGGCTAGCCATGGCAATGAGACATGACCCTCAGGTATTTGTATGCCCCATTAGTGACTCTTTAACCCAGACAAAGAGCCCTCCTCTGTGAAGTGAGCTCAATGAGCCTCTCATCTGCACTGCTTTCCTCCAGCTCCTCCAGACTCAGACAGAGTAACAGGCAAAAAAAAAAAAAAAAAAAAAAAAAAAAAAAAAAAAAAAAAAAAAGAGGGTGCATGGAAGAGGAAAAGCAAAGGGTGGGAGGGAGAAAAAAGAAATTAAAAAAGAAACTTGTATCATAGCAACAGTGGCTACATGATCACGCCCCACCTCACTCCCTGCCCCACTCCTTGTCCCCACTTCAGCCTCATGTTTTGGCACTCTACAATTTGTAAGGAGTACAAATACATTCAGAGGGATGCACTCCGCCTTGACTTAGTCCATCCCTCTCCTCCTGAATGTAAGCACACTGAAGAACTGTTAGCCACACTGGGTGCAAACGGACATCAGATTACTATTAAGTCATAATTTTCCTCCTCCTTTTTCTCCAGTTTACCACCCTGTACTGTTGTATACAAACCAGAGGATTTAAGACTAGTCATTTGCTGTTACTAAAGCAAGATTATATTATTAGGCACTACATACAAGTACACAGTGTAAAGTCTCTCTCATGGTCTTTCCCTTGTGTCTGCAAGTATCTGTCTCTCTCTGACTTCAGGGACCAGTTCCAAGGAATGTATACGGCAGGCTTAATGCTTTTGTTCTGTGTATTGTGTGGAAATGCTCACGCTGCTGGCTTTATGAAATTAATTACAGTCTAAACTTGCCATCTGTACACTGAATGTAACGGTTGTACACATGAGGCTTTCTAATGTACAAACAAGGGGGTTAAAAGTGTGTAATGTTTCCAGATGCCTCTGCATTTTTCAAAAGTGTTACTGAAATAAGCATCAGAAAATATCTGCAAAAGCTATGAATATCATCATTCAGATTTTACTGATGTGAAGATAAAGAGACAAAAAGATGGAAGCACCAGCCTCTAGCCACAGAGTAAACCCAAGAGAGATCTGCAATAGGCAATCAAGATTTCTGGCTCTGACCTCCAGTCAAATTTCCTGGGCCATTACCCTGCCCCTTCATCCCCTTCTCTGAAATGCCAAATGACCCTTTGGCTGCTTTGCTGACTGTCTCGTCCTCTCTTCCTGGGGGATGAGCTTATTGTTTTGCTTCCATGTCAGTCAAACCACTCAGGCTGAGCAAGCATATGGGTTTTAAATCCTCATTCCCTTGCAAGCTCTTTGGCTCTCCACCAGAAGATCACTGCTTTTTCCCTTAACGATGTTGGCACAGTCAGTTGCCCTCACTTACCTTACACCTGAAGTTCTGATTTTGCGGTGGTGGCTGAAGGGGGCTAACTCATCAGCTGCTTTGCTACATGCATGTAGACAAACACAAGAGACATCTCTTGCTTTACTGCGTGCTCTGATGACTCTCTCAAGAGATGTGCCAGATCAAATTGATATTCAAATTATCTTGCTGTGCTCCAAGACTGGGCAGAAAGCTAGTCTAAACAATTTTTCTGTATAAAAGAAATTCCAGGGGTAAAGCAGGCATAACTACATGCCCACTTATAACTTTGGATCACAGCATATGTAACATATGGATTCAAAATGCAAAGGCAGCAGAGAAGCATCCAAGTGGGAGTAGTTCAACAGCAGATGAAGGGTTCAGTTCTTATGGTTACAATATAACTTATTCTCAACTCCTATTAAAAATAGCATCTTTGTTTTCTTTTCACCTCTATTCCTTACTCTTCTTCCTCCTCTCAATTATGTTTCTATCTATGCTCTTCTCTCCCTGCTCCTAGCCTTGTTCTTCTCTTCCAATACTGTCTTTTGCCACTTAAATTCCAGTTTTGTTTGGTTCAACATCTAATCTCAGATTCCCATATTTTAACTACAAACTATACTTTCCCCTGGATTTGTGTGTGATTTTCTCCAGATTAATCAGATCGTGACTTTTTTCTCAAAGCAGTCAGATTTGGCTTTTATCAGGAACACTTTAAAACTTGGAGGGCAATTACTCTTCAAACACTATATAATATGGTATTCCCTTTAAATTCATCTTTCCTTCAAAAATATTTCTTGTAAGGAATTTTCCGCTACTGGGTTCCATTCTACAATTTTTCTTTAACCATGTGCTGCTTCTTTACCACCTATCCAAATTACATTGTCAGCTTCTTAGCAGAGGGATGTTTTTTAATGAATTTGGAAGCACTGTTTCAATTTACAGTGTTACCCACATAAAAAATAATAAAATATTTGTCATGAAAATAAAAATTATGTCAGTGAGTGAATTTTATGTCAATGGGCAAGTACTGAACTTTATAGTTAATTTTCTATCTATTTTTCCTATTCTCTCTTTTTAGAATAAAACCAAACTTTGTCATGATAATGTACAAAAGCTGTATGCTTTCAAGTTTTTATTAGATCTGTTAATCTTTGAACTGTTGTTTTCTGAATTTTAAAGGGAATAGTATAAAATAGGTTAGTCTACAGAATTTACCCGCTCTCCAAGCAGATAAAGCAATTCAGAAATTTCCTGCACTGGTAATATGACTAGACAACGGCAGTAAGCCAGCACTATTTCAACATATATCGTTTTCATCTATTGCCTAGAGGATACCATCAAAAGGAACAAGTTCTTGCCCAGTTACATAGAGTAATTTTGTTGAGATTTTTAAAAGACATTCAAAGGATGATGTTTTTCTTTGGACTTTTTAATTGGAAAATGCTGATGAAACCACCATTAGTATTTAATAGAAACCATCTGCAAGGTTGAGAGACTCTTGAAGTACACATAGGAAGAAAGAGGGCTATAGTAAGAAAAATCTCAAATATTGAACTTTTTTCATACTTGAAATTCAATGCTTATGAGCATAAAAAGACAAAAGAATCACTTAGACATATTTGGACAGACAATTTGGAATCCTGCCTTTGTGCACTTAACAAGCAGACATTAAGATTAGAATATATGCTTTCAGTATCAGACATGGGCCTGGATTCTCTTAGCTATTTTGTGAAATTCTCTCTAAAAACTAGCTTATGGTCATTATCATTATCTTAATGTTTCTTGTCTGCTGCACTAATTTCTGTGGTTGGAGGCTTGGTGTATCCAGTTAGGGATCAATAACAAAACCGAACAGTTAAACTGAGAAATCAAGAATTGTATCAGTGGTCAAAATCTTTTGGAATTCCAGAGCTTAAAATCAGATTAAAAGAACAATGACTATAAAATTCTCTTCTGACTTTTGCAATGCCTGTTAGTCTATAAGAACAGTAGAAACAGAAGTTTCTAATCCTGTTACATGCAGTCTCTCAGAAATAGCATATTGTGCCCTCTCTAAGTCTTCATGAGGTATCTTGCATTGGTTTCCTGTAGTTTTTGAGTTACAATGAGTTCTTTGACAAGATCTTGTCAATATCTAAGGGGATATAGAGAAACACAAGATGACAATCAGAATGGCACAATTGTAAAGACCGGTTGCGAACTGGCAGGTCCTGGATCTTATTCAGTGGAACATTACATAGGCTTCTGATCCCAGGAAAGCTCTGAAATATTGGTTCCCAGTCAGAGATTAGAAAAGATAGACCCTTTTACTGTTAAGAAGAAGAAGAAGAAGAAGAAGAAGAAGAAGAAGAAGAACAAGAACAAGAACAAGAACAAGAACAAGAACAAGAACAGAAGACAGTCTTCCTGGTTTCATTAGAGCAGTAATTAAACGGTCTTTGGCACAGACAGAAAGAAGCAGACTATAGTCACATTCTCTACATCAGTGGGTTTTGTCAGCTACTAACCAGCAAGCATGGAGAGGACAGAAGTTGTGCAAGATTGCACATAGAGGAGTAAGGGCAGTCAAGGGCCTACTCATTGACCTTGGTCAACACAAGCAGGGAGAAGGGGGACACACAGGAATGGATCCTGGCATTTTGTGAAGCTATCAGAAAAGAGAGACCATCTACCTGTTCTGTGAAGGGAATGTAATGTGGGGCATTTGGCACTCTTAGCTGGTCCAGGCAAATGCATAGGCAGCAAAGTTTATCAGCTTTTAACTTTAGTAGAGGAGACATCCTGATGCTACTTTCAGCTTTCTGAGGTACAGTTTTGTGCAGTGTTCTAAGTTAAACCTTGTCAATTGTTCTCTCTTTTCCTGCAAAAAAGACAAATAATCTCTTTTCTTTATGCTCTTGA